TTTACCTAAAACACCAATCTCTTGACTCTTAGCCTAAATATCAAAGCCATCATGGTACTTGAAAGCCTATTCATCCTTTTTAATGGCATACCACATTCTCTTATTCCCTTTCCACTAAAATCCTCAAACGTAGCCAAAACTATAGAAACTTCTTCCTTTGAGGAACTGTTTGAGGACATTGATGATATGAGTCTTACTAAACTTATTGGTAAACTCACTGAAAATGTTAGATAGCCTTCCACACATTCATCCATGCTAATGCCTATAACCTTTCATGCTATCTCCCCTACTCAATCTATAATAAAAAAATTTTAGAGGAAGAAATCTATTCCCAAACATAGACAAACTAAACCTTCCCTTTGCTAAACTATTGAGGAACCTATTATTGAAGAACTTGAGGATCAACCTCAACACCATCAAGCTCCTATACCTCTTATAAGGCAAGTTAAAGATGCTAATCTAGAATCATCCTGATCATCTCCTTGAGCTACTGATGGCTCAAATGAAGCTTTAGATTTCCCATTCTACCTATCAATCCAAACGATTCTTCCACTTGGGCAATTTTTATCAACTCCTACCTTTAATCCAAATTCTCTGTCTGATAGAGAAATCTTATAAGCCCATCTTAGATATCAAGTTTCCTCTCTCTTAGAAAGGCTTACATCTTTTTGATGATGTTAAAGGGGGAGAAGCATGTGAAGAGAGTTAGGCTAGGCTTAAGGGGGAGTTATGTATAAAATTAAGCCTTAAGAAGAAATTCTTTTTCTTTAATGACATGACTATAATATTTTTTATTATCAATGAAATTTTATGTTTTTTATTCATATAATTCAATCTCTTTACTTAATTCTGCACTTTTATCTTTCAATTCTCCCATATCAATTTAAAGGGGAGGTTTATATTAAACAGAACTAAAAACCTTGATCTTAAAGTTTTGTCATCATCAAAAAGGGAGAGATTGTTGGATCATGTGTTTTGATGATTACAAAACCAAGAAAAGAGGTATTTGTTATATGTGTAAATATAAAAACTCATAGATGAAGACAAAACCTCAGGAACATGAAGAATTAAGAGAAGATGAAGAAGTTTAAGATAAGTAATTTAAATTCTTTTAGATTCAATGTGAAAACCTAGAAAGGTTAATCACATTTCTTAATCACTAAATGAATGTATTATACGTCTCTTTTATATGCATTAAGACTCATATAAGTATGTTAAGGCTTGCAAATAATGGCCTTTTTACGTACGGTTTTTCATAGAAAAAGTTTCCATAGTGAAAAAGCATAATCACACGTGATTCTATAGGTCACTTATAAGGTTTTGGATGTTAGGCACAATGATAGCTAAATCATGCGAGTGTGAAGAAGTTCTTCATGCATGATTAAGCACTTATGTTGTATGCTACCTTATGATTTGTCTATGCATGCAAAACCACGTGTGAAAGGCTTCATTGTCTATGAGAGTTTAAGTACCTATACTTCATTGTATTATGTGTAAAACCACGCGTGAAACTAATAGTAGCCACGCATGATTTAGTACTTGTTGAACAATCACACTTTATTTTGTTGAGTCTTAAAACTTCTCAAGTCAAGCTAAAATTGTTCACATGTATGATCTTTGATTTACAAATCCATATCTTTTAATCATGTAAAATCTTGCTTGAGTTGTGCTTTGTTTCATGTGTGAATATGCATCAGACAAGTTTATGCATTAGTGCTTATAATTTCAAGCATGATATGTTTCTAGTTCCAAGCGAGTTTTGATCACATTAAATGGCTTTAGCATTCTACCAGCCATCTCCCATATGAGAGAGTACAAGTTTCATGTATGATTTGTCACACAGAACTAATGATAGCTCATTATGTGCAAAACCATGAGTAAAAATAAATCGTGCACTTGTAAGTCTTAACATCTTGATATATTAGTATATTCATAAGTGCTAAACCATGCGAGATAGCAATATGGTACCATGTGAGTTTTAGCATGTAGAACTAAATGTATATTCATGAGTACTAAACTACACGAGAGAGCAATAAGGTACCATGCGTTATTGAGCACACAAAACTGAATGGTTACTTAAAAGTGTAAACCATGCATGAGAAGACAAGGTGTTCACATGTGATTTGTCATATTTAGTTTTATGAAACTCCCTTAGTGTAAAATCACATGTGATTATACCAGTCACTCACAAGAAAATACACCAATGGATAGAATCACTATTTCAACAGTCTATCAACTTCTAAAAACTATATAAGTTATTCATTTTGACCCAAACCAGAGACTAATGATCTTTGAGCAAACAAATTATCATTTGTACATTTAAAAAGCTTTCAAATTTTGATTTTACACATTGCATTCATTCATTATTCTCGAAAAAAATTGTGAAAAGCTCTTAGAGTTTTATAAGCTTTCATTTGTATTCTTATCTCCTCTTTAAGAGAGTTCTCTGTAAAAAGCTTTTATTATCATCTCAGAAATCTTGAAAAGGAATTTTTTCAAGTGTTGTAATAACTTGTTGGATTGTAGCAAGGTGTGTTAAGTGAATCAAGATAAGATTAGTCTTGAGAGTTAGACTATGGTGGCAAGTACCCATTAAAGCTTGTGATTTTAGTTGAAAATCTCAAGTATGATCTTAAGGACTGGATGTAGGCCAATCTTATGGCTGAACCAGTATAAATCTCGAGTGTGTTGTCTTCTTAAAACATCCTATGACTTATGTCTTTTGATGTCTCTTTGTAACCTAAAATGAATTTGAATCTCAAACTTATTCTATTGATCTTAGGAAGGCAAAAGACACAAACTAAGCTAATGTTCCAAAAAAGCCCAAAAATTATCAAAATAACTAAAATATCCCTAAGTTAATAGTGAATCCTAATTGATTCCAAAGGCTTAGAAATGCCTAAGTATGCAAGATTTAAGCTTCCAAGAATGAAATAATGCAAGAATATCATCATAAAATGTATGCAAATAATGCAATATGTCACATAGTTATGTGTGTTGATCCTCGGCTAGACTTAAGAAGGTTTTCATAGTTATGGAACCTTATTAAGCATACTGAGAGTCACAGTTTTGGCAATAGAAGAGGGCTAGGAATATTGGCAATTCTAGACTTAATTAGGAATTGGAACTAAGACCATTAGTTGATGGAATTAGGGAAATGAACTAGTTAAGAAATCTAAGTTAGTTGACTTAGACATAAATTCATCCATTGAGAGAAATTAACAATAAACTCATAATTTAGATTTGGATTCCTCCATCTTCCAAACTCTAAGGCACCATACTCATTCATAAGGGTATCATATTCACTTTCACACACTTTATTGCTTTTCTAGTGACTTAGTTTAATATTAGCTTTGAATCACTACACTTTGTTAACTTGTAACACTTAAAATAATCTCATAATCAATTGGTTTAGCTCTTTGACAGAATGATCTAGGTTGCACCCTAGATTACATTTAGGTTATATTCTAGTATTTGATTTTGAAGCACAGTGACATTGCCTTTCACCTTGTGCATCACTTGGTTGGGCTTCTAACATTATTGCTTTTCTAGTGACTTAGTTTAATATTAGCTTTGAATCACTACACTTTGTTAACTTGTAACACTTAAAATAATCTCATAATCAATTGGTTTAGCTCTTTGACAAAATGATCTAGGTTGCACCCTAAATTACATTTAGGTTATATTCTAGTATTTGATTTTGAAGCAAAGTGACATTGTCTTTCACCTTGTGCATCACTTGGTTGGGCTTCTAACATTATAATATTCATTTTTAGACCTTTTAAATATATCTTCACAGCACTATTGCACGTTCATAAGCATGCATGGGCTATTCGAGCATCCATCTAGGTTTGAACAAGTTTCATTCAATTATAGAACTCCTATAGTCTATTACACAATGCATTTAGGCGCCCATTTAGCATATTAAGCTCTATTGGACTCCACCATATGTATATAATAGCATTGGGCCTTTAACTTATTAGAAATTGACCTGTGATGGTTTTAGGAGTGGCCTACCAAGCACTATGTCATAATCCACACATGTAATCATCCATGCAATCATCTATGTCATCCTTTTATGTTTTTGGGCCATTTATGGATTGTGGGGAACTTGGCCTTTTTGGGCTTGTTAACTTCAGGACTTACTTTATATTTTATATGAATTGCTTCAAGATTCATGAAAATTTTGATAAATAAATTATTTTAATTGTAAATAATTTCAAAATCTACTTTATATTTAATGTGATAATCTTCTCGATTCACTTTATATTATATGTGTATATTTTTAGAATTCACCTCATATTTTTTATGTGAATAATTTCAGAGTTCATTGTATATTAAATGTGGATAACTTTAAGATCCACTTTATATTATGTGTGGATAATTTTTAAATTCACTATTTTAAAATTAAACTGTGCCTTATACTTCTAGATGTAGCACAAAATAATTAATCCAGGGAAGAAGAAAATAATTGAAAAAATAAATTCAATAAATAACATTAATAACAAAAGTGCATAAATGATAGAGATTTGCTTAATATTCAACCGAGCATGCCTCCATCTCTATTAAATATGTTCATTAGTATGAGCATTATTCTCTAATCCAATAATTATAATGATACTCACCTAATGATGTCAAGAGTAAAGCAAGGGTGCTTATGAAAATAGAGATTGAGAAAATAAGAAAATAGAGAGCATAGAATATAATTGAGGTGTTTTTTATTTATAGATACCAATATATTAATTAAAGTAAATAAAATATATAAGGTAATATTAATAATAATGGAAAGATATTATAGTAACTGAAAGATATTGGAAAATATGAGATAATGAACATATATATAATATCCTAATATTCATAACATTTTTAAATTTTCATAATTATTTTTATTTTTATCTTTTATATACTTATGGGGATTAAATCTAGTTTAAATATCATTGTTCAAAGCGTTTTTCTTTTTTTCCTTAAAAAAAAAACAAAAACAAAAGAAGCTGAGGCAAAGATGGTGCGGGGAAGGGAGCGATGGTTGGTTATTGCACGGGGACGACGATGTGTATGGTTCGTAAGGGTTCAAAGGGCACCACGACAAGTAAAATGGGTTCGTTTCTTTGTTGATTGATTGGTTTGGGAATCTCTGACGCTTCCTTACTCCCCGATTCTCCCGCTTCCTTCCATCACCTATTTTCCCGCTCACCCCATCATCCCTACCCAACCTATATGTTATCTCACCCCTCTCTTTCTCTTCCTCTACACTCTGTTTTCTCCTTAGGATTCTCGCTATCTACTTACAAATTCCGACTTCATCTTCTGTGCAAGTTCATTTTCCTTTCCCTTGTTTAAATCTCTTTGTTTTTCTCTCACACCATCATCCCCTGTCACCCATCCCCAACTTACACTCTACCTTCGTTGATCATTCATTCAAAGGTATAATTTATGAATCTCGTGACTGTTTTCTTTGTTAATCTTCTGCCACTGGTGTCAGAAATTTTTAATCACTTGTCGGTTTTGGGAGGTCGATGTTTCTCTGGTTGCTTATTTATGCTCGTCATGTGCTTTATTTCCCTCATTTAATGCGTTTGGTGTTGATAATCCATCCCCCTGTTTTCTTCGCCAACACTAAACCATTATTCATAAAATGGTATATACATGAATTTCATTGTTGTTGTCATTGCTCTTTGATTGAACAGTTCTAGTTTCTCATAATGGTTCTATTTCGATGGCCCCATATTCTCTTTAAACTTCAAGCTCTTTTAAGCCTGTGATTTTCAATTATTTTGTAGGTTTTTGAGAGGTGGGGTTTTCTCTAACTGCTTGTTTATGTCCTCCTTTTGTTGGTATTTGTCTCAAAATGAATGCTTATGATGTGATGAGAGTTCTAATGTTGTGGCAGGCTCTATTTTTTGAATCGTGGAGTGATTCTGGGGGACTTTTGACTGTAACGTGCAGGATGGGCAGGGTAAAGCTAAAGATTAAGAGGCTGGAGAACACCAATGGTCGCCAGGCGACTTTTGCTAAAAGAAAGAATGGAATCATAAAGAAGGCTACTGAATTATCAATATTGTGCGATATAGATATCATACTGCTCATGTTCTCTCCATCTGGCAAGCCCTCATTGTGCAGAGGAAGACGCAGGTGAATATTTTGTTGAGTTAAACCAAAAGATCACTTACATTGATTACTTGTTCAGGACATATATTTAGGCCTATTGTTCAAGCTGATAGTGACTAGGCTTACATGAAAATGTTTTTCTTAACCTTAATTTTGATCTCTAACTTCATTCTCTGTTATTGAAGAAGCTATATGACAATGGGACCGTAAATTCTCCTGAATCTTAGAAGAAAGGGGCAAAAAAGCTTAAATGCTTTATTATGTGCTCCATTTCCTCCTCTTTACTTCATAAATGCCTGGTGTTTTGGAAATAGGAGCTGTTTAAGGGGATGGGTAGGATGGGTTTATGTGAGAGAGGTAAGCTACCCCTGTTTTGTCTATTATTATGAGATCCTGCGGCTACATTTGACAACCTTTGAAATATAGATAGTTTTGGGCATTCATTAATCAACAATCATTATTGTTGAATGTCTTTATGTACTTTTGTTAATTGTGTCAATAATTGTTGAATGCCCCTTAGGTATATAGACCTTTTACCTCTTTCATACAAAAGGGCAATACTTTTTCCATTGTGAAGATCATAGAAGCATGTGGTGCAGTATGGTTTTGATTCTCTATCCACAATTCTGCCTGAGGCCTGCATTTTTCCTGGCTTTCAAGGTCATAGAAAATAATATTTTTGTTTTGTCTTTTTAGTAAAGCTGCTCTGTTGAAACTTTTACTTATCTGTGGTCTTTCATATGTTCAAGCTATTAGTTGTAGATTACTTGTTTAAAAAATAAAAATTCTTTGCCTAATTATTTTCTCCCTCTCTATGGAGGGTGCATGTAGTAACATGGAGGAGGTTATTGCAAAGTTTGCCCAGTTAACTCCACAGGAAAGAGCAAAAAGGTATGGTTTAAATACTTTCAAATATAACTAACTATTGCCATTGTTGTGAAAACAAGACAGTGATTTCATTAAATGTTTTTCTATGGATTGGAACAGGAAGTTGGAGAGTTTGGAGGTATGTCAGTTCTTACATCTTAGTCTTCATTCAGAAAATCTCCCTTGCTTTTCTTGATTTGGGAATAAATGGTGCCTGAAGTTGTTTTTATTAACAAATTGAATGTATGAAACTTTAGGCACTGAAAAAAACATTTCGGAAGCTAGACCATGATGTCAATATACAAGAATTTCTGGGTACAAGGTACACCATGCTAATGCTAAATAGTGATTGTACTTTTGGTAGATTTAACCATTTATGTCAGTTTGTTGGGATACTGATTTCCCCCCTTTTCTTTTCATTTTTCACAGTAGTCAAACTATTGAGGTATGCATGCAGTTAAACCATCTTGCAACTTTATTTCTTGTGTTCATGTTATATCTTCTGCTAACTTACTCTGTGCAGGACCTAAGGAATCAATCCAGGTTATTACAAACTCAAATTTCTGAAATGCATAAAAGATTAAGGTAGGTCTTCTTGTCCCAACATTTGTTATCTTAGAAATATTTGACTAAACCTGTATTTTTTGGGAGAATTACATTGAAGTCCCACACAAAGAAATTAGTTACTGCTAGTTCCAGTGACAAATGAACTAAGGAGATTGACAACATGAACTTTATAAGGTCCAGTGACAAATGAATTAAGGAGATTGACAACATGAACTTAGTTCAGTTGTCACTGGATCTTGTAGTAATTAATTTTCTTGTGTGAGACCTAGATGTAATTCTCCCTATTTTTTCTTCATGCCATCCTTACTAATCTTATATTGTATTCTGTAGCTATTGGATGGATCCTGACAAAATAAACAATATGGAACAATTGGCACAAATGGAAAATTCAATCATGGAGTCTCTTAATCACATTCGAATATGCAAGGTATGGCCGAATTTCTCTATAAAGGATTGAGAATCTAAACTTCTGAAGTTGAGTGATAATATAATCTTGTTATGATCTTTTAATTCATGCATAGCAAGTTTATTTTCCCCTCTTAAAGTAACATACGGTTTTCTAGCAATGAATGCCACTTCAGTTTCTAATCTTGTCTGAAACTAGTTGCCTGAAAGGATTTGAAATAGAAGAGAGAATGATCAAAAAGTCAAATGGGTAAGAGCTAAACTGGAAGAAAAGGTACCAATATGAATGCAGATGTGCCTCAATAATGATATGCTTTGTATGTAACCAATTGTTGAAGAAAATAAACTATCTTCAATCCTTGCATTTAGTGCATATAGAGTTTGATGTCTTAAAGAATATCCCACTGTGCAGGAAAATGTACAGAAGCAACAACTTGCGAAATTGGAATGCACTAACCAGGTAAGAATTATTTAACTAGCATTTAATATGATCTTAAGGCTGTTTTTTTTTTTAATTGTTTAACTAGCATTTGTCTCCCAGTTCAATGAGATGCAGATTCCCTGCAGAATCAGTACTGATCAACATCTTCAATCACTTTCATGGATTCCTAACAATGACGGTCACCATATATTACCTGAGGACTCAGACTTGCTTCTTCACAAGTGAGCGCTTTTCTTGAAGTGAATCTATTGATTGTGGTTTAAACCTTGTTTTACACTGACTTAGCTTAACCTAGTTACATCATAAGTTATTGTGAGGAATCTTCTATCGCTAGAATAGCACAATACAGCCACATTCTAATGTATCGTTAATCCCTACAGGTTAATTAGAACAAAATAACATTGTTTTATGAGAATAATTTTCATGATCATATTCCTTCCCAGTCCAAATCCTCTACAAGAAATAAATAAATGAATTGATCCTATACACCCCCACTTCTTTCTATCAATCTCTCTTATAACACTAAAGTACTATTGCAGAGGATCCAAAGATTCCCTCCATATAAGATTTCACAATTCAACTCACAGGTGGTCCCATTATAGATAATTTGGCCAAACATAAGTGACTCTGTTCCCAAATTGATTTGTCTGTACTACAGAGAACTTGAGTGCTCTGCAAGCTCTTCCTTTGGGAGTTATGCCAGTTATCTTGGCTCAAGTGCAAAAACAGAAATGTCTAGTTCTGGGCAAGAAAATGGTGTCATCACTGAATTGACCAGTAATGCTCCCCTGAGACTTCAATTGAGCGGGCAGTTTCAATATGGACTTCCATACAATTTCAATTTACTGGATGATACGAAGTTCCAATCAGCTGTGGACATTATTCCACATGAAAACCCCTCAGATTATCACGTACATGGAAGCATTGAAGCGCCTCGACCTGGATGTGACAATAACCACCGTGGATGGGCTTCCACATCAGGGTCCAGTGCTATAACTATGTTTGATGAGCAATTGTATGCCCAGGCAAGTTCCTCTCAACTTCACTTTGGATTCTTGTAGCATTACCATCCCCGCTTTTGGCTTGCACAAGTTCCTTTTGACCTGCAGCATTGATAATCTACTGGAAATTTGAGTAATTTGTTACTGTGTTGCCAAGTCTCCAAAAACATTCAATAAATCTGTGTTCACTATAGCATATCAAGAGTTGTTTTGATGTTATTGAGACTTTGTATTGATTTCTCAAATGACTTTAGGAGGATGGAATTTACAGGATCTCTGTTGAGTTCATACTTTTATTGCAACCACCTTATGGAGTACTTTTAGAATACTGGAAAATACATTTTTTTTTTAATAACTAATTCTTGGACTGCTAGATTGTGCAAAGCGTCATTGGTAGTTAATAGGTTAAGCTTGTTTTGTGTGTAAGAATACTTCTCCATGTCCAACTTCAGTATTATGAATCTCACGTCCTGACAAAAACATGATCGTTTTGTGGATTGAACATCAGCAGTATTTGGAAGAGTTTTCATTGTATCACTTCCCTTAAATTCCCAAGGTTTAGTAACATATGAAACTATATTCTGAATGTTTTCTTCTTTGTGCGCTTTTTTTTTTCGTGTCTTAATTACTGACTTTGATAAATAAGCTTTATTATGAATAATGTGGTTGGCTATGGATTTTATATCGTATAACAATTTAATTCCAGGATTTTTCGTTTCTCTTGCTAATACCATAAACTGTGCCTCTGCTACTTGAAGCTTTCTAATTCCTATAAACTGTTCATTTTCTGGTTGCAGCAACCAAACTGGTCCCTCCAGGCATCCGCTAATGATGTTGCTAGAGAACTTCAGTCATGCTTGTGAAGCCTACACTTCCTGCAAAAAATAAAAAATAAAAAATAAATAAAAAAAAATCTCATTAGATGTTGGTTTTAGGTATTTTATCAAGTTTCTCTTATTAAGTGTAACAAGTGGATATTTTACGTTGTGAAGTAAGTACCACATAATTGGGTTTTAAAAAGAAGGAAAAAAAAATCAGGCTTAGGTGGCAGATCTCTTTTACATCTGAAGTTTGATGTATGATTTTCTAATTGAAATATAACAAGTATATAGTTTAGTTAAGGAACTACATATTTGTTTGCAAAAATATTTCTCATTTTATTATGTTATTGAAAAACTACATTTTATATATTTCAATAGTAGGATCATTAAGAATTGTAAATAATGTAAAAAATATCCTGCTCTTGTGATTTTAAAAATTTCTTGAAAATTGCATTTGAACAGGCTACAATATATATAATTTAGTGGGTGATTCAAATTGTATGAATCAAAGCACGCCATTGTATTACTTGAGAGCCATTTTTTTTTTTGGTTTAAATTTTACCTACAAAGATCCTAGTTTCCATTAAACACGGAACAAACGAAACAAAACATAGTTCAGCCATCAAAGGCATGTCCAAAGAAACTTTCAGAGAAAGAACTTACCAGAACCCCCCCCCCCCAAAAAAAAGTCTCTAATCCATTTTCAAATTATTAGATACCTTTTATTTTCATTTATTAGTATTTAAATAATTTATTTTTAAGATTTATGGCTATACATGAAACATTGAAAGAACTATTAGATGCATTAAAGGTTCACATTACTTTAGAGCACTTGGTGGGCATGATTTTTAGCCATTTAATTAATGTAAATGAGCCTCAAACTTAACAAAATAATCAGAATTTCGTGCATTAATGGCCCCGTCATTCATATTTTTTACTTATTTTTCACCTCGATTCATCTTAATCTTTTCTTTCAAGATGAACTGTAGAACCTCTTCCACCATATTTCTCCACCTTAAAACCCTCCATTTCATCATCCAAATACACCATTTAACTCCCCTCTAAGATTGAAATAAAACTCATAAATTAGATTATTGATTCCATTTCATTTTCATCTACACAATTTCTCTAGTGTTCTTCCATTGTGGTTTCCATTGATAGTTTTCAAGGAAGGGCCATAGAGGTTCGAATGAGAAGTGGCTGGGCTTGTTTTCTCTTCCTAGAATGTATGGATGAACTCTCTTTGAGTTCTTGAATTTTGGGAGTCTCTCTTATTTCTTACCTCTTCTTTAATTCCTCGAATTTTGATGTTTATGACATTGGAATGACAATGGTTCTTAGAATTAAACTTTATGATACCTAATTGAGTATTATATAAGATTATTATGTTGTTTATTTGCCAATTGAGGTGCTGTCATAGTGATTTTGGTGTTATCTAAATCTTTATTTAATTCAATCCTGTGTTGCATTAAATTTTTAGTCGCTTTTTGTGAGCTTGTAAGTCACGATTGCATATTAAGCACATTTAGGGTTGGCTAATCATGGTCTTAATCAATTTGAAATTATATTTGGTTAAGGCAAGGGCTGGAATTGATAATTAATTTCATAATCAATTAGTCATTTTTAAGTATAATTAGTTAAAGGGTTAATTTAGGGTCCTAGTTAATCTAAAGAATCTAAAAGTGCTAAATTTCTAGTATTTATGAGAATGATTTTAAAACCAATTGGGGTTAAGGTTAAGAAAAAAAATTAATTAGATAGATTTAGGACAAGAGAGGGAGTTTATGTGCCTAGGAAGACCATCGTTTTGCATTTTAATCACACATTTTTCAAACCTGTCCAAAATCTTGAAAATACCAATAAAAATTAGGGAGAATTGGTGAAAAGGACCAAGTTGAAAAAAAAAATTGTATCCAAGGACCAAGTTAAACCAATGAAATTGAAAAAAAAAAAAAAGACTGTACGTTCAACACGTGCACCCCAAACCAGATCCCTTGCACCCAAGTCATATCTTTTGCACCCAAGCTAGAAGTTTTGCACCCTGAGCCAAATCTTTGTACCTTTTAGCTATTGAGTTTACATGTAATCCTTGATAATTACATGTAATTAAGGGGTATTGAATTTTTTTGATGAAACTTTCCAACTATCTTTCACCTATCTTTTAGAGCTCTGGCAAATGCACCGTTAATTGTTGGAGGAGTGGCTAAAGCTCCTATAGCTAGAGGTCACCGAAGCACTAACAATTAGAGCTCTGATAACCAGATTTTGTGCCTTTTTCTTAACTTCTTTTTAGTTGACATAGAGGGGCATTTTGGTCTTTTAATATGGCTTAGGGCGTAAGGCTTTTGGCTTACGTGCAAGGGATTTATTTTAGGGTGAAGTCTTCTAAATTGGGTGCAAGAGATCTGACTTAGGGTGCAAGGCTTTTGGCTTTGGATGTAAGGCTTTTAGCTTGAGTGCAAGGCTTCTGGCTTGGGGTGTAAGGCTTTTGGCTTAGGGTGCATGTGTTTTAGCTTAGGGTGTAAGGCTTTTGGTTTGGGTGCAGACTATTTAGTTATCTCAATCCTTTTATCATAAAAAGGTTACCTGTAGTTTGTGTTCACCTCAATCCTTTAGAATTTAATTTATGTTTTGCATGCTAATTCACGACTCATTAACTAAGTTAATGTGTCATGCACTATGATAAAGCATGCACATGTTGCGGCACATGGCACAAAATGTGCCACAAATAATTTCTCTTCTAACTTGACCTTGATCGCTCTAAACTCTTTCCTATCCTGACTTGAAAGATGCCCAAAGGTTCAAAACACCAATTAGATATATGAAAACATGATTGATCAAATTAATTCACTTATTTACTAATTCTACTCTTAATTAGTAACTAATTCAAATTAAAAATTTTAGGATGTTATACCATATTGTAGAATTACATAACTGTAAAGGGGTTCTAAGGTAGGTTTATACATTACAGCCTTCCAAAACTCTGTCAAAGACCTCCTAGCTTTTACAAGAACATTAGACAGTTCAACCATGGCTTGCTTAAAAACCATATCACTTTGTTCTTTCTAAATTTATTAGACAATCAAATAAGAGAAATCACCCTCGTCTAGTGCAATCTTTCCAGTGAGTATGTAAACTAAACAATCTACAAAATTAGAAGTACCTTGTAAGTCAATTTGAATAGAGAGAGGGCTCTTGAACTAGATGTAGCGAACCCAACAATAGTTAAATAACAAATGCTATAAGGTTTTAGGTTGAGCTTTACAAATGGAACATAAATCAAAGGAACACATTTCTTTGCGTGCAGGGCTACTAGATTAGGTACTATATAGCATCCTAAAACATTAAAATATATTAATTAAATGGTTAAGTTGATTAATTTACATTGTAATCAGATTAACAAGAGTAATTGGATGACCATTAGGTCTATTAGACCTTATATTGTAGTTGATTTTGGACCCTAGTTGTAATCAGTCCACTTTAGGCTCAATTTAATAGGCTTAAGTGAGAGTATCTAAATTAGGTCATCTTCCATGGTGAAAGGTATAATTTTCCATGACAAATGTGTTGAATTTTAAAATCTAAGTTTTGCATCTCAGACAGAAGTAGAGGGAGAGTTTTGGGAGAGAAAACGTGAAAGGGACAATTAGGGCTTATAGGAGGTGAAGTTTGGATGCCTTTTTGAAGATCTAGATCAAGTGGGTAAAATTTTACACACTCTCTTCTCCCTTTCCATATCTTTTTCTTCATTGTTTTAGGGTTTCTCTTAAGTAGTCTAAAAATAGGGAGTAACCCCACTTATTTTCTAACTCCAATAGGCTTGATTAGTAATTATCTAAGTGTCTAAACATTGGGTTTTAATAATGAGAGTGATTTATGGTGTTAACAATGGATTTAAAATTAATCCTAACACAAAGTAATCAATTTTAAGCTAGTAAGTTAGTGTGACAATGAGGTTTAAGCCTATGGGAGATTAAATAATCTAATGAAAGCTAAAAATGGGGTTGTTTATGGTTAATGGCACTATTGGGGGTCTTAGGCCTTAAATATGATTAAGAACTATTTAATGACAATTAATCATTAATGATGTTTAATGATTCTAATTGTAGGTTTGAATACTCTTGGAGCTTGTGCTTAAGAGCTCCTTTGGAATCCAAAGTGTACTCTTAGAATGGTAACCTAAGAGTAGAGGTAATCAGGAGTTAAATTCTTGAGGACAATTGTTTGCAATTATGAGTTGCATGTTGTTGATTGTAATAAAATTGATTATATGAATATGTAAGCATGTGGGCATTGGTTGCTAAGAGTTATGTGATATGTGATCATGAGCTTGTTTGATGATGAAATCAAATGTTTGACTTGATTTAGGTTGTGTAATTATACCATGTTAAAATGTGATGAGGGGATGAGTCATATGGCATGATTTGATGAATTTAAATGTGGTTATTAAGAATAATGTGATGATGGAATTGTGACCATTACAAATTTAATGACCATGACTATGGGTATCTGAATAAATGAGCAGGTGATTGAGTTGTATTATGTGCTTAAGTGGATACTTGGTATCATGACAAGCATGAGCATAAAGTTTTGGCATGAGATTAAACATTAGTTTTTCTATTCTTGACTTGATAGCATGTGCTTGATTATGAGATAAGTTAATCACTTTTTATTATGACACGTCATTGAATAACATGAGTATACTGAATGATTAGGGATGGGTGAGAGTCTACCCAAGTAAGGGCGATATAGAATTTTTATGTGGTGTAGCTGTAAGGTTTCCCTTACTAAACCACAATTAACTCCATAATCGAGGTAATTAAGGGACTAAACCTTTAAAGGATTATCAATTTTGTAAAAATTATATAAATGTGAACAACCCTCAAATCATTTATAATGGGATCCCAAAATTCAATATTTTCAGTCTTAATCAAACACTTATTATACTCACATTAGAGTTTTAAAATAATGTGAAAGCTTAAAAATTGACTGGGACCCAAAACCTTGAGTTCCAAAACTCAAATTGTATTTTGTGTAGAACGTACATGTGCTGCAGCTAAAGACATATGTGCCACAGCTCCCTCACCTTTGTGCCATGTGCCGTGGTGTGAGGCACTATGCGACGCGGCTCATTGCACGAATTTGACAACAGCAGCTGCTGTCATTTGACAATAGTGGGAGCAAACTTCCGACACATCTTAAATATGTGTTTGACATTTGATTGAGATGGTTTTGGTGTCTATACAGAGCTTTCTCTTAGCTTTAGCTAATGGCACAAGTTTCACACTCAAATTGATTTT